ATTTTCGAATATGAAAGAGAACATTGAGTACCCTGTTATTCATCAGCTATCCTGCCCTTACTTGTGAGAAGTCACAGAAATTACTTCTATGAACAGTTTGAAGCACTTTATTTTCTTTTCAAATAAATATTGAAAACTAACAAGTAGGATCACAGCGGGATGCCTTCAATTGCTAAAGATCTGGCTGTACTACCGCATTTAGGAAAGATGCTTATATCTCCCCGTAGGGCTGTGTATCCTACCGCCAGAATCAAGAAAACTGGTAAAGGTCTAGAGTTTCAGTCCAGGCAGCTTAGGCCACACACCACTAACAAGCTTGACATGGATAAAACCACTACAAAACAGGTGGAGTAGTATGATACCACTATTTTAGCTTGGATACGAACAAAGGATGTTGAGGCTGGGGGATGGGGATTCCGATCGCAACCAGGCGCAATGGCTGCTCCAGCTCCACTCCAGCAGCCTTGTATTCCAACAGATAGCCGCTAAACACCTGTCGGCCTAAACACTTTGTCGGATTCATCCGGCACGCAGCTGTCAGCTTTTGGTTATATAAGTGCTGTTCACCAACTGGGTTTTCAGCAACACAGACATTTCCTCGTTCAGTTCTCTCATAACCCTCTCACTCACTGCCATTTATCATGGGATCAATCTCCAATGAATATCCGCCGCTAGCGGCTCTTCCCAATCTCAGTCTGCACCCCTCCATAGATGCAGAACAGCTTAATGCAGCCAAGATCGCCGACGAGTGGCTCACCTCTTTCTCAAAGAGCCTCTCCACAGGCCAACCAGATGCTATTCAAGCCCACTTCCTGGAGAAGGAATCTTGGTGGCGCGATTTCGTTTCTTTCTCATGGGACATTGCATGCCATAATGGCTCCCAGGCCATCTCCAGCTACGTCGCCAGCTCCACAAGTGGATTTTCAGACCCGAAACTCGATCAGCCTGGCGCATTGCAACCACACCTGGCTGACCTGGGTGGTATGCGCTTCATCCAGGCCGGATTTGGGTTCACAACCAAGGCTGGCAAGGGTAGGGGTGTTCTTCGCCTAGCGAACGTGGGGCCCGATGAGTGGAAGGCGTGGACGGTATTTACTGTGCTTGAGCGTCTGAATGGACAAGACGAGCTGGAGGCAGAGAGGGCGAAGGCGGCCGAGATACAGTCTAGTGGATCTGTTCCCCAATCGACCAACGAGGACAGCGACCTGCAAGTTTTGGTCGTGGGCGCCGGTCAATCGGGCCTTGCTCTGGCCGCTCACCTGCAGAACCTCGGCCTCAAATATCTGGCCGTTGACAAAACAGCGCGCCCTGGAGACTCATGGCGTGCCAGGTACACGTCAATCAAATCACACACTCCGAGCTACATGGACCACTTTCCGTTCTTGAAGTACCCAACCACGTGGCCGCGCTACCTCGACCAGGAGCACATTGTCAAATGGATGGAGCACTATGGAGATCTTCTGGGTCTCAATGTCAGACACGGCACGCTAGCAACCAACATTCAGTACAATCCGTCGACCAAGCGGTACTCGGTCGACCTCCAATCCAACGACGGCAGCGTACAGAGCATCACCACCAAGCACCTCGTCCTCGCGACGGGTCTACTCAGCGACATCCCCATCAAGCCCTCCTTCCCCGGCGAGGATACGTTCAAGGGCCAGATCTTCCACACATCCGCCCATCAATCCGCCAGCTTGATGCCCGACGTCAAGAACAAGAAAATCACCCTTATCGGCGCCGGAACAAGCGCACACGACGTCGCCCAGGACTTTGCCAGTCATGGAGCGAAATCGGTCACGATAGTGCAACGCAGTCCTCTCTTCGTGGCCTCTCTCAAGTCCGTGGAGGAGCTCCAAGTGAAACTGTGGGATACGCCGGGCTTGAGCACTTATGATGCGGACCTTCTGGGTAACTCGTTCCCCACGGCCATTGTTCGGACTCTCAGTGTTGGTGCATCGCAGATGATGTCCGTATTGGATAAGGACATGTTGGATGGGCTGGAAAAGGCCGGGTTAGCGGTCAAGAGAGGCGACCAGGGCGATAGTCTCGTTGATCATCAGCTGATTAAGGGGGGTCATTTCTATATCGACCAGGGTGCATGCGGGATGATTCTCGATGGTCGGATTAAGGTGCAGAGATGTCAGGAAGGCGTCCGGGAATACTACCCTGGAGGAATCACCCTCGCCGATGGTACCCAGATTGAGTCGGATGTTGTTATCCTTGCGACGGGTTTCGAACGCACGGACAAGTTGATCGAGCACATCGTGCCTAGGGAGATTCTGGACAAGGTGCCGGGCGTGATCTGTAGCTTGGATGGGAGCCAGGAACGGTTTGGTGTAAGTTCGCTACGATTTCTCATCCATCTTTTTCCGGTCGCCAGATGGCTAACAGTTCTCGCTCATAGGTTTGGAGACCGACTGGAATGCCAGGGTTCTGGTACATGACGGGCAGCTTTTCCTGGTCGAGGCAGTTCTCTCCCGTCCTTGCTTTGCAGATTGCTGCTGTCGAGTGGGGGCTGAACGCGGAGTATCAGGGGTAAACCAGGGAAGATGCCCTGTTGATAGACACTTAATATTACACCCATTATTATCACTACTATCAAACCGCCCTTAGTAAATTATATTTCACTCAGTACCAATCATCTTCAATATACCGACCGAGTACTAGATAAAGTATCGACAATGTACAGCAGTACATGAGGTCCAGTAGCGTCAGTATATAAAATATACAAGTAATCCAAGAAAACAAGGTCATCTACTCGTGGACATGTTCCAGCCTTTTTCATCCCCAAAATATAATCGGCAGATAAATTCTCCTATCCTAAAACACACGATATGTCCGACAAGTGCCGTGAAGGCGTTATTTCCACGCTGCAACAGGGATAAAAAGCATGGTAATCACATGATCGATTAGGGTTCTCACGCATACCCTTGTCTAGTATATAATACGGCTCAGTACAGCCTCGGAAAATCACCAGTCGGGGACTTAGTAGTAGTAGTGCTGCCCTATAAACTAGTACGGATACATTTTCCGGGGTGGTAACCATTTTTCTTTCATTTGCTATCCTATGGTCCATCTATTATCGTTACGTTTCCTATTTGATAACATCTTATCTAGTTGAACTAATTGCATGTATTCTATCATCTTCAGAATGTATACCTCCCCCCGGTATTCTCGTTCGGCGACCAATTGTTGACCTAATTCTGGGCGTCAAACGGACATATTTCGCTGCAGGAAAGCGGTCCTTAGATGATAAAACGACGTGGTATTGTGCATGCCAAGACCAGGCTGAATTGATCTTACATCTTGTCTCACTGTAAAGCTGCGAGCGTAATCAAATTTGACAGAAAGAGAATCTCCTGCGTTACTAAGGTGATAGGATTCGAGAGAGCACTGAACGATTGCAAGTCTAGCTGTAGACTTGATGAGGAGAGGGGGAGCTAGGTAATAACAAGAAACGATGCTCTTCTGTGGGAGACGAAAGAAAAGGAATTCAAGTTGGATATAAAATTCTACCTCAATCCTCCTGTCACTGAAAGTAGGATCACTCATTGTAGTGATCATCGTGGCAGTTTCTGCAAGATAACCTAGGTCGTATTCATTACCTACTCGTTTCCCATATAACCTCTTCATCATCGGCCTACCTACATCCAGTGTAGTATTCTACATAGATTACGAGTCAGAATAGCTCTGAGAATGTGCCCAGCATCGGAATCTCCGAGTCCATGACGGTTATACCAGAAGGGGATCGAACGGATAATTTTTGTGACGGTATGACGTTCAGGAGACATCCCGCAAGGAACATTATCCATGACCTCCATGGACTCCACCTTCTTCCACTCACATAGTTGTCTCACAGCCCCTGACATCAGAGCTCCGGTAACGGAATTTGTAGCTGTGGTCGTCGAACCGTAGCATTTCCGAACTTTGTCCCTGTTGCATTCCGCGGAGACTTACCCGAACTCAAACTTTATCTCCTAGGGCTTGCCTTGCTTTATAAGGCCCAAGACATGCAGATTGCATTCCAGAACACTAGTAGATAGTACGTAGGTACGAGATACTACATACCAAGCGAAGAGTCAATGATTCTAAGACACAATAGTGTCTTATTTCAGCTCGCCTCAAAATGTTATAATAATACTACTCCAAACCAATGATCTAGTATAAATTCCATCATCTCTACCCCCCGCTTTCTTCGCACCTATCAATCACCTACTGCTTAAGCTCAAGCACAAGGTTTAGAGCAACCATAACCTTAAAAGCTTATCGCGTCGCTAAAGTCTACATCCATCCCATACAATCAAAATGAAACACATCCTCTTCGCCACCACCACCACTCCTCTCCTCTTCGCCCTCATCTGCCAAGCCGCACCCAACTTCCGCATCGGCTATCGCGGTGGAACCGAGTACGCTCTCCCGATATTAGACGCGGCAAATGCCAACGAAACCATAGCCTTCAACAACAACATATACGGCCTCCCCAACCTGGATCAGTGGGAATCCATTAACACCAATCAAGGGTTCTTGATTCGCAATGTTTACTTGGGATCTTATATTAGCTGCAGCGGGCAGTCGACAAGCTGCAGTCTTTCTACTGAGGCCGAAGGAACCTTCTTTACATCAATCCAGTGGGATAACATTGATGGAGTAAAGTACTATCATCTTTTCGCTACTATTGAAGATATTGATGGAGGAAATATGTGGGTTGTTGAAGGTGGGAAATATCTCCACATTGGTGTGTTGGACAACCAAAATGAATTGCAGGAGATTTCGATGCAGTGAGTTTAATTGGAGTTTCAAGGGCTGTGTATTTATATAAGGGCCTGGAATATAACATAATAGGGACGAAAACAAAAGTGGAAGTTATCCCTACTAATTACTCTGCTACCAACTATCCCCAGGCATTCATTCATTCACCCGTACATAGACACTTGAACCGAAAGAATAAATTGAGACATAAACAGAATACCACACATCTAACCTCCCCCAACCTAGTCTGTCTACTCATCCACCTCCTCAATCGAAAGAAACTGCTGGCTATTATTGGGGTCTGCGGAAGCGAGTGTCAAGGTATTACCGCCCTGGAGAGCGAATGTTTGATCATCTGGGGAGTCAACATCGCTGCCGTCTGCAAGAATTTGGTAGTAGGTTCTACCACCGATCTCCGCGAGTTGAGTTGGTTGATGGAATAAGGTCCCCTGTTCTGCAGCGTAACACTCGCCCCAAGACGCACCGCAGAGGATGTATGTCCCTCGCTGCTCGTTACGGATCAAGACTTTTCCATCTGAATCCTCTGGGGTCTCGTACTCCCACAGTTCAAGGTCGGGGTCTCCATATAAGTTAAGGAAGACAATAGTCTGAAAGTCGCCCCTGTCGTCTATTTCTGGGAGGGCGTAATTGTCACTTCCCTCCTTGGTAGCCGATTCGGAAGCTGGCTGCCGCTTGACTGGCGAGGGTAGCCAGGAGGGTAGTGGTGATTGCAAGGGTAGATTTCATTTTCTGTGAAGGTTGTAGGTATAGCTTATGAGTGGACCGATTTATGCGAAAAGGGACAGGATTTTTTTGGAGTTTGAAAGCCGTTTAAAATCAACTTAAAATCTTAACCCCGAAGATACAGAGGGAGCTGGGGTATAGAGAGAGGGGGTATTTATACCCAGTTGACTTTGAGCCAGCATTCTTCACGACAATGGTTGTGAACTGATCTGACATATTTTCTCCACAATAGTCCCATGACCTTGTCGTTCACTTGCTGTATGCAGTTTCATTGGAATGCAGAAAGGGGATGAGCAATAACTCTTGCATGGGTTCTTCTACCCCCTTTTTTTTTTTTCAGGAACACAAAGTTAACTAAGACCTTTGGTGGTTAGTGATGCTTTAGTGAAAACATGTTTGAGATTGAGAATACTACAAGCATTACGATCTAGCGTGCTCGATATATGAATTTATTCTGAGCCGTGGAATACAGCCAATGCAAAGTTCATATTTCGTCAGATATATTCCCCCCTACTATCATCATCGTCGTACTTGGAAAGGATTGTCTGCCGATCAACTGGTGGAATTCATGACAAGGAGATTGGGCCTGTTGGGGATGATCATTGAGGCGAGCTGCAATACAGAGTTGCTCAGAGATCTTAAACTATTCTGTTCGGCATGCTGTTCCACTGCAATGCAGGGAGCTAATGGCTATGGCATGCCCCCTTGCCGTATTTGGCAAGACATTTTTAACTAAAGTGTTGTCATTCATTGAATGTTCATTTGCGCTCTTCTCTATCCATATTATATCGAATATTCAAACAGTCCGCTCCGCATGAGCGCATGTCCAGGGGACTCGGCCGTAAAATAGGGAGTAGTACTGAATATCACATTTAGAATGTGGGCTTGAAAAGTGGGTTAATTACGATTAGTCGCACCATTTATGTATATCGTGCGAATGTTCGAGTCTCATGACTTTTTGTACATTTTTTGAGACATAGATGTTTCTCTACTACCGAGGTCCATATACCACCCCATTTTCCGAATTTCAAGCCGAGTTGATTGGATACGATACTGACACCCACGAACTGGGAAAACAGTAGAACTGCAAAGCGCCGTAACCACTAAGAGTAATAGACAACCCATCACGCCGACCATATCAGATCAAAGAGAACAAATTATTTCTTCCTTTCATTCCATCCAGCTCATGGTACTGCATAAGAAACTGCTGTGTAATTTTCCATAGAGCACTCGCTGTGAAGAGAAGGACAAGACCACGCTATCAAACTCTTCAAGTCAGACCCATTTACTTGGGAGTATCTGGGCGCTGTCCCATGCCAGAAAACTCTGCACTCATCTGGCTGGTACTCATAAGTTCCTCGTCATCAGAAGACTTCGACTCCTCCTTGATGGTACTGTTTTCGAGCTCCGGATCATGTTCTTCCATCTTCACGGCGACTTTGTCTTCGGCCGGTGTGAGAGTAGTGGCGCCTCCGGATTTTCTATGTAGGAGTGATACAATCAGCAATAGGGACAGGCACAAGGGGTGAAAACTACCTACGGAGCCTCTGTCTTCACAGCCTTCGGCGCAGAGCGAGGGGTCTTCGGGGTCTTCGCGGTAGCTGCCGTCTTCTGACGCTTCCCCTTAGAAGGAGTTGGTGTAGTCTCGATAGCACCAGTGTTGTCATCATCGGCGACAGCCTTGTCCTTGCCACGCTTGCGGGCGTTTTCTTGGGAGTGGCAGTAGTGGAAGCGGATTCCTTTGCAGGGCTGATAGCGATACCAGCTTCTTGATCGGCCGGGTTATTATGGATATCGAAAAGCCTACGCTTAGCCTTGTGATAGAGAGTACTGGCAGATTGAGCGTTCTTGTAGCCTCCCTTGACGGCCATCTTATCAAAGTCAACCTGTAGTTGTTGTCAGAGAAATCTCTATAGCTGGAGAATAAGGGAAATTACTTTGCCAGATTTATCAGAACTCAGTACACCGAGAATGATCATCCGCGCTTCGGCCATACTCAACCCCAGAAGGGTTTCGGGTTGGTTGAGCTTTAGTGCAGACATGATGATGTGCGGGAAGTAGTGGACAATAGAATGTAACGGTAGGAGCGACTTTGGGTGAAAGTAGGAATGGTAAACGAGAAGTAAGGGAAAAAGTGAAATCAGAGGTGAGAGTTGGCTGCGTGTAGATGATAAACAGGTAAAGTCCTTGGCGAGGAAAGAACTGTGTTGCCACGAACTCAAATTGTGCAACAGCAGAGATAGACCTGAGTTCAGAGCTGTGAATGAGCTTAAGGCAACCCGCTTCGCTGGCTACCGAAGCAAACAGCCAAAACACAGACCGGGGCCTTTGATTGCGATCGTGCACTGTCAAAGTTTCTACTCTGCTGGTTGGTATCGAACATGTTCAGTGAATCTCTCAGTTCTGTTTCTTCAAGCCATTGTTCTGGATTTTCTTGAACACGTCATCCCACAATGTAGGAAAGTAGTTTGGGGACTGTGTCGAGCGCTGGGCCCTCACATCCGTGTAAAAGTGTTGAGGGGTTTTTCCTGCCCACCATGGAGAGGGCGCGGGCTTTGAATTGGTAAAGGTCACAGGCCGGAGAAAAGACTTGTTGAGAACCAAGTCACCCAGTCTGACCTCTGTCTGCTGAGGCAACGAACTTGAACGAATGGTAGTCATGTACAAGGTGGCCGTGGGCGGCAGGTTCTTCACATATTCAATCATTGTCTCGCGAGAGCGGCGGGCAAAGGCGGGAATGGCAACGTGCACATAGACGACAAACGGGGCTGTGGTATAGAGGATGAAGATCATCGGAAGAGTACCGCCAATTGCAACTATCCAAGGGTCAGCAGGAGTATATCGGACAAGCGACCGTGCATACTTACTTGCAGGGGCGAGGTACCATGGATGCTCATCCGATGATGCGAATGCTGGAGCAAGAAGGAAACAGGAAACTCCAAATATTAAAAGAGAAACGAGCTTCAATGTTCCTACCACAGCTGTCCTCCCTTTTCCGCTATAATACACCACTACCTTCTCGGGTGGCCCTACAAATGTCGAATCAGCACGATTTTCTCCTTATCCTGGCAACTTAGCGGGGGAGCTATACCTTTGCGAAACGTCAATTTAGCATGTTTGGCAGGTGACGCCTGTGGGTTCCGGGGTGCAATAGGCTCCTTTCGCTTGATGAAAGGAGCGCTGGGCTTCGGCGGAGGAACAGGGTTCTGAGTTGTCTTGAATCGAGCAAATAGCTTGCTGTTGAGGTCTCTCCGCACGCTCCGGGGAAGTGCGGAGCGCAATTGCGCGCTCAGCAGGATGACAGGCCGCATTGGGTGGTTTGGCGAGGGGGCCTTATGAGTTCGCGCTGAGCTTCCGGCAGTATATTCGCGCCAGTTGGCAGGTCAGAAGAGTCGAACGGACACGATGTGAAGACTGACTTCAGTGCGAAAGGATGGCCCGGTGACTTTTTTTTCTGGGAATTGAAGCTCCGCAACGTGATCCGGCTTGGCGGTCGGAGGTTCGATTGACGGGCCGACAATAGATGGGAATAGACTTGAACCTTCCCCAAACACCATCGCTTCCTCAACAAACCACCCTCTGGCTTTACTCGTCGGCATCGTCACCATCCTCCTACATTGGAGGCTGTTTAGACGCTATCCATATCCTTTGCGATGAAGACGCGCTGACCCCAGTCGCCCCGCTCTTCCCTGCGATGTATTCAGCTTATCGTGGCCTTCTGGCCCCCTTGCTCTCCATCTACATCACCGTCCTCTTCCTACTCGCTCCAGGCAACGCATACCAGGCCATCTCGGATCAGACATTAGAATCTCTTCCTCGCCCGAACGATGATTTCGATATTCATACCGGCGCCATTTTGTCACCGATCCTGAGGCCTCGTGTGTCTGGGACCTCCGGATCGACAGCCGTGCTGAACCACTTCGTCGACTTCTTCCGGAACTCGCTCCCTGACTGGAGAATTGACTTTCAAAATTCGACATCAAAGACACCCGTGTCGAATGGAAAAGATGTGCCGTTTGTGAACTTGATCGCATCCCGTGACCCCCCGTGGGCGGCCCCGGGCGACGTTGGCCGACTTACTTTGGTCGCCCATTACGACAGCAAATACGAACCGGAAGGATTCATCGGGGCTATTGACAGCGCAGCGCCTTGTGCGATGATTATGCATGCTATGAGGAGCATCGATGCAGCTCTGACAAAGAAGTGGGAGGCCATGCAGGCACAAGGCGCGACAAATCCGTTGGATGAGCAGACGGGCATTCAGGTGCTTTTCTTGGACGGTGAGGAGGCCTTCAAGTATTGGACCGACACTGATTCCCTCTACGGTGCTCGCTCGCTCGCCGAACAATGGGATTCAGATGTCCACCCAGCCATGTCCATCTACAAGACTCCTCTCGCCTCGATATCCCTCTTTGTTCTCCTGGATCTGCTGGGTTCGAAAGATCCAACCATCCAGTCATTCTTCCCTACCACACACTGGGCCTACAAAAAGTTAGCTGCACTTGAGCGCCGTCTGCGACGGCTCAACCAGTTCAAGTCCGCTGGCAATGATCCCGATCGGCAGCGGCTGTGGTTCACGCATGCCTCCAAAAGCGAGCACGAGATTCCTTACTATTCCGGTATCCAGGATGACCATATTCCCTTCATGAAACGCGGAGTAGAGATCCTCCACGTAATCGATGCGGGTCCCCATGGGTTCCCGCCAGTCTGGCATCGCATTGAGGACGACGGCGAACATTTGGACCTGGCGACAGTAGAGGACTGGAGCTTGTTGGTTACCGCATTTGCGGCAGAGTGGATGGAGCTGGAGGGCTTCATGCCGGGATCTGAGCAGGAATCTCGAGAAGGTGCCCATGGAAAGAACAAGCGCACTGGCTACGATGTCAAGACTGAACTGTAAGCATTGTCTGAATATATTCACATTTAATGGCCATTGCGGCCCTCGATTCTCTATGTACATCTATTGCGCGGAAATATTTATGAGCTGTGCTGATGCCTGATTGCTTGCATAGCTCATGAATGGAAACACTCGGCCATCCCGCCGCGCATGGCCCTTCCAGAACGGCTTTTGGTGCAGCACCACCACTCTTTCACAGCAACGAGAAACAAATCACATCAAATTTCCTAGCATAAAACCAGTCATCTCTGCAAGCCCCCAAACAGGCTGGAGCACACTGCGCAGGATGGCTGGACCGGGGCATACTCCGCGTAGTCCCCAGGCGAGGCCGAAAGCGACCCCGCCTGCCACAAATTTCCAGTCAATATCGGCTACAGTCGCAGTGGGAAGTCTCCATTGTGCCGCTAGAGTGGGTGTGGACCGTTCCGCCTTGTTATCGGTCTGCTGGCCCGGTTTGGTCGACAAGAAGGTTACCAGTGACGGGCCAATTCCAAAGAGGATTATGAGTGCCAGTGATGGATCGAATCGCGAAGGGTCAGACAGGAAGGCAAAGAAGCGCAGGACCTTGGCTGGGTCAGCCATTCCAGAGAATAGCAGTCCTACGCCAAATTCCAGACCCGCCAGATACGAAAATATAGTCCTTGAGCGCTCGGATCTCTCGAGGGTACGGGGAACGACGACAAAGTTCATCACGGATGTAACTACTGTGGTGGTGAGCATGACGGCGAACTCCGCAGTCGACGGATAGACAGGCATGTAGCAGGGTGTTCCACCGGCACACGGGGGGATGTTGGAGCCGCCAGCGAAGATATTGGCTGTGAGTAGGGCGGTGGTGAAGAAGACAGCGGTAGCAATGAACGAGCGTGGCGACAATCGAGAAATGCCACAGAGCATGTGGCCGGACGTGCAACCTCGACCATTCTATCCCACAAGACCGTCAGCACCTACGGCTGTCTTTTCTCGAAAAGGAACTCAGCTTCATCTACCTTTGTACCCCATCCCAGCAGAAACCCATGGCCCACGGTCAAGAGCCACGACCCCCAAGAACTTGGTGCAGTGGGATATGATGGGATGGCAGACGGCAAGAAAAGAGCGACGGGGACAACACTTGACACTAGACCAGCAATGAGAGCCACATTATCCCTCGTCGGATTCAAAAGAGCGCCCGACAGGAGCGAAGAAATGCCGAAAACCGCCCCATTGTGCAACAGCAATCCCGTAGAGCCCTGGAAGAGCATCAACGCCCCGAACGTGGTATGTACTGGCGTGAACATGTTGTGGCTATACAGAGAACAGTAGGAGTAGGTGATCGAAGATAAAGAATACCTTCATCATACAAGCAATAAACAAGACGAAGGCGAGAATCGAGCCATTAGAAAGGATCCCAATCCAGCAACATCACAATGCGAAATGTACGGGACAAGGAAATTGTAACGGCGACTTCCTCACCGATTTTGAAGTGAACAACGAGGCCGAGTGAGTGAGTGGCAGTTCGGGGACCACACATTCCAATCACATACGGTGACACAACTGGTCCCCGAAACCAGAACCAGAAACGTGAAGGGCCGATTTGGGCGGGAGTCCCCGAGTGAGTGAGTCTCAGCCATTTACTTTTTCCTCCTCTCATTGAGAATTTCTGAAGAACACTGGTGTTGTAAATTGCGCACATGGGAATATAAATATATACATTCAGTGTCTATATCAGGTCATCATTAATGCAGGGATGGTATATAAAATTCTAATCCTAGCTGCAGACATCACCCTCGTGGACCAGCGGTTCCTTCGGACGGTCGGGGAGAGGATGTGCAGGGGAAACAAGACGATCGAAGGGGAATGGAAGGATGGAAATGCCGGGGATTCGTTGGTTAGTGCAGATTTTAGCTGGTTTGGTCCCCGACCCGGTCGCTGACTATCTTCACAGAACCATGGTTGAGTCCATCAGTGGTTGAGTAGATCGATGGGATGAGGCAATGAGTGGGTGTACATTGATTTTGTGGTGAGGATTTATTTGGAATTGGATATTATTTGGGGTTGATTGATTTGTTAATTGTTCGGAGAATTCTCCCTTTGCTATATTTATTTCTTTCTGGGGAGAAGTGATGGGATGGAGATGGTGCCTGACATTAGTTGTGCACTGTCTAGTATCTACACTTTCTTTAGAAAATATAGGGGTCGAAATCATAGTTGCATATCACACAATGGAGATGATCCTACTGATCGCGATTCGAGACATAGTTGGATCTTATTGATGTTCAGTGGTTGTTCCTATAGTACTTAACCTTCCCACCCTTAAGCTGAAGACACATTCCATCCCTCCAGAATCTAATCAAGCTATGCCTATCACCTGCACCGAACAAACTCAATCCCAGAGTACAGAAATAATCCATACCAGTCACCCCTTTCTTCACGATCAGCCCTCAGATTGAACCATCACAGCCACCACTACCGCTCCCTACGCATTCAACATCCACAGATCCCGATCCGGTGATCGTGATCGATAAACCCCCTGTACAGTGTACACCGACTGAACCATCGGCGACCACAAGCTTAATCCCCCCCTACTACGTTGTATCCCGGGGTCCATATCAAGTGCTGATGCAATCCGGGCCTTCTCCGAGAACCACACCATCGCCGTTCTTAATTTAAATCCATCTCGGTCTCTTGGCTGCAGTACATGCATATACATTGCCCGAGGCGTCTCCAGACCAGCTAACCGGCTCACCATCTTACGGTCTACCTCATCAAATATTGCATTATATTATATGCATTGTTTGTTATCCGTAGTGTTTTGTATGGGTAGTGTGGCTTCTTCACTGCCGAGTATGCCTACCCAGCACATGTTATATCTGCGGCGATCCCAGATTTTTGCCTATTTAACATGTCGTAGCCTTGTATAACATAATATGCTGCCTCAGCAGCATCAATTGCTCGCATGGCTTAGTTGGTAAAGCGCATGACTAGTAATCATGAGATCCTCGGTTCGAATCCGAGTGTGAGCATTTTTTGGTTTTTTTTTTTTGGTTGGGGGGTGGGATTGGTGGTGAGGATTATCATGTCTTCTCTCTCTTTCTTCTGCGCGCTCTCTTTATTTATATATAGTGTGAGAGGGAAGAGAATCGATGTTGAACATATTGCTCAAAAAGTATTGACTTTGATCTGGTTGTTTTCTGGGGAACGGGGTGGGGGTCAACTATGGCGGAGTAGGTACCTGCTTTACTGTTCTAAGAAAATGGTATCAATCTGTAGATGTCAACTATACTATATAATATAATAGATACTGACCATTGCATTCTCCGATGGGTTGGCAGGCGAAATATTAGTACTGGATACTGATCGATCTCCAGGGATGTTTCCAATGACCAATTAAATTAAATTTACTCGTATGCTCCTATGTAGTCGTGACGGACTTGCGGGCTATTGATTGATGGGCGAGAGATCATGGTACTTTCTATTTGTAGAATTAGATGCGCCTAGGTTACATGTCTTCTCACTGGGCATCTACCCGTGATGAGCCATGGACTCTCCCAGTATCCATTTACTCCCCCTTGACCTCAGCCAAATTCTCCTTCCACCAGCTCTCCTCCACCTTCTTAGCCTGCAAGCCATTCTCCGCCTTGCGCGGGTACCCATGTCCCTCGCCCTCGAAGATCACCAACTTGGCCACTCCACCGCTACGCTGAACATCCTCAGCCATTGCCTGCGCCTGGTTCAACGGCACAATCTCATCCGCTGTACCCTGCAACAGCAACAGCTTGGCCTTGATTATATCCGCATGGAACCTGGGACTCCGCTCGCGGTACACCTTTCGCTTCTCTTCTTCTGTCTCGGGCACCTTATCATCGAACAAGAGCCGGAAGGCATAGTGGCTCTCAAACTTGTGTGTTTCGGCCACAAGGGCTTCGACGTCACTAATTCCAGAGACGCTGACCGCAGCAGTAAACAGAGTCGGGAACATGCAGATTCCCTGAAGGGTGGCGTATCCACCGGAACTCACGCCAGTGATGCCAATGCGGGACGGGTGCACCTTGCCTTCGGAGATTAGGTACCGGGCGCAGTCTGCGGCATCGTGTACGTCGAGTACACCCCAACTTCCGTTTAGGAGCTTGCGGTAGGCGCGTCCGTAGCCGGAGGAGCCGGCGTAGTTGAGAAGGGCAACGGCGTATCCTCGGGTGGTGTAGTACTGCCACATCATGTTAAGTCCGGGGTCTGTGTGGATGGTGGGTCCGCCGTGGATGGTGATGATGAGTGGAGGAAGCTCGCCTGGGGCACTGCTGTACTTGGGGTTCGTGGGAGGAAGGAAAAAGCCATGTGAGAGGGTGTTGGGGTGGGTGGAGATGGTGCGCGGGAATGAGATGTGTTGAGCGCGAGAGAAGTAAGTGTCGGAGATGGTGACAGACGAGGAGGAGCGGAGGACTGTTGGTACGGAGGCATCGCTGGAGGTGAGAGAGATGTGGTAGACAGTGCTGGGGGCAGTCGGAGTGCTGGCAATGACGGCAATGCTGGTAGGAGATGTCAGAGCCACAGCGCTGTGTTGGATGCCCGTGAGCGATGCGACATGGGCCGGGAAGGTGTAGGTGTTTTTCTCGAGATCGATGATAACGAGACGCTCTGTTGCGTTTTGCGTCCATGCTGCGACAATGGTATTGGCGTTGGGAAGAACATATGTGCAACTGCATCGTGTTAGCTGTGTACTATGTGAGCAAAAAGGTAAGAGAGTCATACGATCCTAAGAGCCATTCTGGATGAGCAAATTCGCCCTTCTCCAGGCCTTCAATAACAATGGCGCGGGGCTCATCATTCCCATCCGGGCTCCAGCGGTAAAACTGCCAGTATCCAGTGCGATCCGACACAAAGAACAAAGTTCCGTCCGGTCCCCATCTCGGCTGCAAAATACTTTCTTCGTCGCCATTTCCTGCCAATTTTACGGGCGTTCCAACCTTCTCATCCTTCCAAGTCGCAGAATACAGCTCGGTCCCCGTCCATGGCATCTCGGGATGGTTCCACTGGATCCAGGACACTCTATCACCAGTAGGACTGAACGTGGGATGCGAGTAGAAGTCCGCTCCTGTCGCTGCAACCTCCACCTTCTTACTCTCAGTATTAATTACAACAAGCTCGTTGACAACCTCGTTGCCGTGATGGTCCTCCCTGATAGCGAAAACCAATTCTGGTCTCTTGGGGTGCGAATTGAACGCAGCGTACCAGATCTTTTCATCCGGCTCCACGGCGGCCGCTACATCGCAGGTTGCAGGATCCAAAATATACACCCCATGAGTCTTCCAGTCTGCGAAAATGACCTTCCCATCTGACGTGGTGTTGAAGGCCGCGCCACCGTAGCCGTGGACGGCGGTGCGTGCACTGTATGCAGCTGGTAGGACGTCACGGGGCTGGTTGTTGCGCCATTCGACGATACAATTGCGACCTTCTTCGGCAGGGCGGCCTTCGTTCACGTAGATGATACCATCCGCCTGACGAGTGAGGTCAATTTAATTCGGACGTAGTAGGATGTAGAAGGAAAGGGGACGAACCGTGGCGGTGATGCCGGCGAAACTGATTCCTTTTGACGTCAGGGTTGCGGCTGTGATGGGACTGTCCCAAGTGCCGAAGGGAGCTGTCTGAGGTTCTGCGGAGGAAGCCATTGGGTTGAGTTGGAATATGTGAAGTGTGTTACAAAGAAAGTGAATGGATAGATAATTTTGAAGGGCGTAAGAAGAATGTTGGAAGAGGACAGATGAGGGGGTTAAAGTAGTGCAATAACCAGGTACCGAGTGAAAATTAGCAGGGAGGGGAACTAAGCACAAGCATTGTTTGTGACATCCACCAGCCAGATTAATTCCGTGGTGTTCCCGCTATCCGAATGGCTTCGATAAGCCCGTGTCAATTCCATGGGGAATAGTGCTTACGCACTAACATGCACTGGTCAGCCCATGCCCCCTCTTAACGCCATTTAGTGCGAACTGGTCTGTGTTCCGGTTAAGGCTATACCTGGATGTTAACCCATACAATGTGAATTGGGGATATAACCATATCCAGTATTCTACACAACCTCTTTTCACAGTTTCACCGAGCCAACTACATCTCGCTCTAGCCTCATCGAATTCACCAAATGTGGCCCTAATTCCGACAGCTTCGTCACTCCCAAAAATACCATGTTCATCTCGATTTCTTGCCGCAAGATTTGAATAGCTCGACGGTTCCCGTCGGCTCCATAACCTGCTGCCAGACTGAACAGGAATGGCCGTCCAAGCCCAACAGCGGTTGCACCTAATGCAAGGGCCTTCAAAACATCTGTTCCACGTCGAATGCCCCCATCGATGAAGATTTGCATGTTACTTTCGATAAGGTGTGGTGCATATCGTCGGATCTCGAGTAAAGTGACAAGTGGAGGTTGAGCGCTGTTGAGTGTGAGCCTCTGGGATACAATATTTTGGGGCTAGAATTCCACATACGTATCTTGAGACCTTCCACCATGATTGGACAGGACTATTCCCTGTACCCCATGTTGATATGCCAAAACTGCATCTTCCACACACTGGATACCTTTAATCACCACCGGCAAATCGGTAAGTCCACGGATCCATTTGAGAATATCCCAGTCAATATACGGCGAGATGGAGCTGGCCATGGTCTTTGCGACACCTTGTCCTTTGACAGAAGAGTCGCGCGCCTGTAGAAGTCAGATTCGCTCTCGAGCGTTGTCATAGTACGTGATTACCTGAACCTCAAGATTTAATCTCTCATCCATCTCCCGCTTCCCAACAACAGGGGAGTCGACTGTAATCCAAAATCCACTAGCACCTGCTTTCACAGCTCGTCGGACTGTCTCCTCCGACTTTTGTATATCTTTGTTGACATACACCTGCTGGAAGAGCGGCTGATTGGGGTGAATGCCAGCCGCTCGCACAGCATCAATGGACATGCTAGAGCCATTCGCCAGCACCTGCGCCAATCCTTCCTCGCCCGCTGCGACAGCCATTGCGCATTCTCCGTCCGGATGTGCGAATTTAGCAATTCCACACGGGCTCATGTAGACTGGCAACGAGACAGACTGGCCCAGAATCGAGGTCGCCGTGTCCACGCTGCGAATGCTGCGGAGAATTCGAGGACGGAAGGACAACCTTTGATAAACTTCTTGACCTTCGCGTTTGCTGATCTCATCGTCGGCTCCGGAGTAATAATACGCCCATGCGTGAGGGGAAAGATGTTGCTGAGCTACCTTCTCAAAGTCGTTTAGGTTTATTATACTGCTTAGCGGAGGCGGAGGGTTTTCTTCTGCTGTCGCCGATGTCTTGGGAAGGGGCCTGGATGCCTTCACGAGAGTGTCTGGTTGGATAATGCCTTTGAGTGCCGATGGTGGCAGAGCTTGCGAGAGCACGTCTTTATCGTGGACTGAATCGAAGTCTGCAGTACCGTCCTTGCCTGCGCAGCGAAGAATTACCTGTGCGCCACCTGGATGCTCATCGAGGAACTCTGGCGGTGTGAGTAGTTGGCGATGATGGCCCCAATTGGACTTACCAGTGACATCGTAAACGGAACCATGAATAGCTACCCAACACGACTCGCGTGTCGAGTGCTTCTCAACCTCCTCTCGACTCAGTATCGACATTTCGCCTTCAATAGTGACTCAATGTCAAGAAGAAAGAACAGATGTCAAATGCGGAGAAAATGGTCTCGCCAAGTCTAACCCCAACCCCGGATTAGCCGGTCAAAATGCGGAGAAATATCCGCTGCGGGTGATGCCGATCCCCCACGCTAACCTTGACCCCAGTCTTGGCTTGGGGGTTGTATACATCGGTCCTGCGAGTATGGATCTCCTCATCTCATTCCTACTCCGCAAGAGCAGTCACCATGGCCACGGAACACCCAGAAGATGCTCACAAGCGGTCCCCTTCGCATGTCGAGGACATCCATCACCCCGGCAAAGTCAGCCATGGAGATACAGCACTCGCCCTCCTTGCAGATGGCGGTGAACTGGAATCAGCAGAGCCTGAGGAATTGAAGAAATTAGTGCGCAAGATAGACTGGGTCATCCTACCGTTTCTCTCAGTCTGCTATGCTTTTTACTACGTGAGTGTGCAGATTCCTCGGATGGGATCTTCTGACACGGACAGATCGACAAAACTACGCTGTCATATGCAGCCATTTTTGGCATCAAGGAGGATCTGAAATTGACAGGCGAGCAATACTCATGGCTGTCCTCTGTCTTCTACTTTGGCTTCCTCGTCTGGGCGTTGCCTACAAACTTCCTCCTTCAGCGCTTCCCTGTGGGAAAGTACCTAGGCGTGAATATCTTCCTATGGGGATTCTTTCTGATGCTACAGGGTGAGTACACCGCAAATTAATTGATCGTAAGTCTAACATTAGCAGCTGTCGCAAAGAACTTCACTCAGCTGGCTGTTCTGCGGGTGATATCCGGGGCCGCTGAAGCATGCAGGTAAGTTGCTCCACACAGTATGCAAGAAATCGTAACTAACGACACAGTGATCCCGCCTTCATGCTCATTACCAGCATGTGGTACACGCGACGCGAGCAGCCCATCCGCATTGGAATCTGGTACACGGCGAATGGAGCTGGAATTGCCCTGGGTGGTCTGCTAGGGTATGGGATCGGGCAGATCAATGGTGCCCTCGCCTCCTGGAAATACGAATTTCTCATCATCGGAGCCCTCTGTGCCTTATGGGGCGTTCTCATCACGGTTTTCCTACCCGATTCCCCCGTCAATGCCCGTACTTTCTCCACTCGAGAAAGACGACTAACCATCGAGCGACTCCGCGACAATCAAACCGGTGTTGAAAACAAAACCCTCAAGCCGACTCAAGTCCTCGAAGCCCTTCTCGATTGGAAAGTCTGGGTATTTCTACTGCTCGGTCTATCAGGCAACATTCCCAATGGAGGAATCTCCAACTTTGGCACTCTGATCATCCAAGGATTTGGGTTCTCAACACGTACGTACCCTCGCCTTTTCTGGCAAAATACATATTCCCATTATTCCAATGACTCACTGAAAACACCGACGTAGTGGTGACAACCTTAATGCAAATCCCCTACGGTGCCTTCACATCCCTAATGATCATCATCGCCGTCTTCATCAACGACCGCCTCCCCCCCAACAACCGCTGCCTAACCGCCATCTTCTTCCTTCTCCCTAACCTAGCCGGCTCTTTCGGCCTCGCCTTCCTCCCCAGCACTAACCAAGTCGGCCGTCTAATCTGCTACTATCTCACAGGCTCATACAACGCCTCCTTCGTCCTCATCCTGTCCATCTTAACGGGTAATATCGCAGGCCATACCAAGAAGGTCGTTACTAACGCGATGATCTTCCTCGGCGTGTGTGCGGGTAACATTGCAGGGCCGTTCTTCTATCGCTCTGAGCAGGCACCGCGGTATACCTTGGGGATTTGGTCCATGGTTGTGGCGAATTTCATTGAGATTGCGTTAATCGGGGTGCTGAGGGTTGTGTTGGCGTGGGAGAATCGGAGGAGGGATAGGATGAGGATTAGGGAGGATGGGGATGGAGTTGGGGTTGGCAGTGGGGATGGGGATGATGTGGTCGCATTTGGGGATCTGACTGATAAGGAGAATTTGAATTTCCGGTATGTTTATTAGGTGGGAGAAATACCAGTGGGATTTTGGTACGTTTAGTAGTATGGACAGATACGGATCTGGTTAAGGGCTTATGGAATTCATGATGAGTGAAGAGGAGGGATATGTTTGAAACATGTTATTGACAACTGTACTTGACGTGAAGTCTTATCTTCCACCATGGGGTATGACACCTACGTAACTCGCCGTCTAGTAGGTCCACCAACGTTTAGTAGCTCAAACCTCCTCCCAGCCCGAAAACGAGTAAACCGCGACTGCATAGAAGGCAGTGCCCCATAGTCACGTCTATATGAACCAGCCGCAATCCACGTAAACAGGTTACCAACGCCATCGAGCAAACAAAGCCCATTTCTGAGGTATGATAGAATTATACATGGACGCATACTCAAAGTATTGATATAGGATAAAACCCCGCAAGATCCCAATCAAGCAGCCAAAGCTCCCCAGTGGGCGAGAGAAGAAGATTCCGCGGCGCCAGATCATGATGTGTCAAGACAAATGGACCCATAGCAGAAGGGATGTATGCAGTACCGGTGATAATTTCACTCGCTTTCCGGTTTCATTGTCGTTCTCATGCCTCTGAAGTTACCCCAGAAGTGGAGATAGCGAGAGAGCTCTGTTGGTCCGGATCGGGGTGGGAGGCCGTAGAGGTCATCTAGCCAGAAGGATGTGCATTGACCGGTTGCGAGGGATCCGATGGTGAGTGAGGTTGTTGATCTGAGGGTTCTTAAGATGCGACGGAGTTGGAGAGCTAACTTAATCGTTAAATACCATCCTAAACTTGTCCAGATATCCTCTAGTGTTGACCCCTCAATTCGGTGCATGATGCTGTATACGTTCCGGTTGCTAGTGACTATTCTTCGTATTGAAGGGCAAGGTATCCCTAGGCTATGAGCTAGCTCGGTGGCTTTTATTCAATCCTCGGCTTCGGATGGGTTGAAATACTAGGACTTGAGATATATTTTGGAGAGATTGAGGATACTCGACTCATTAGAGAGTCTGCAGGAGGTGATGAAACAATGTGCTGGATGAGTTCTGCATCGGAGTAGCTTTGGAGTAGGTCATCGCGAATTTCTGTATCCATGTTTCGAAATGTAACTAGAGCACGAATAAAGTAAGAGAGGTGAATCCAGGGAGTATAGCGATAAGGTCCAGGAACGCGGAGTCTAGAATAGGCTTAGTTGTTACAGGTGGAGACAATCCGGCCTCAGGCCTTACTGCGGAAGGCAAAGCTAGTTCGGAGCTGGACCCATATCTGATCAGTGCTAGGAGAGGCCACCAGCTGGGCTTTGCACCGCATCCTGTCCGGCGAAACCAATGTCAAGGGGTACCTGCTCATGCAATTCCTGTATGCCCAGATTGTGGCACCCATAAAAGGTCGGAACAAAGAACTAGGGCAGAGACACACCAAACAACGACGGAGCCAGACAGACTGTGCGTAGCGGTTTTGCAGCGTCGTATGCTGCCCAAGCTAGATCAGGAGTATGGGCTAGAGCTGGTGTCGCTGGGGACACCGATGGAAAGTGGGGATGATGAGTTGATAGTAGGTTTCTAGCTGGATTCGTTACTGGATGAATAGAAGTTAACTCCTCACAAGGAAGTTTTGACCTATTCGAGCTAGGCGAACCTGAGTCTATGGATGAACTGTCGTACGATGTCATTTTGGGGTTCTGGTAATGCCTTGCACAACATGCAGAAATGGCCTAGCAAGATGTATCCTACAACCCGTTGCGTGATACATACACGCCATCATGGCACCGAAATAGACCGAGAACGGCATTGATATCGTCTCACATACACTAATACCTCATGGCAAGTATCATACATCACTGCTTTCCCAAGCTTTCACCCAACTCCGCAGCTCTATCCGTGGCCGCCTTAACCGCCTGATCCACGATATCCGCAAAGTTCAGCTTCTCAAAAGTCTGCAACGCGGCATACGTCGTGCCATTCGGGCTAGTAACGTTCTTCCGCAGCTGAGCAGGCTCATCATCCGACTCAACCAGCATCTTTCCAGCACCGAGACAAGTCTGCGCGGCCAGTCTCGTAGCCTGTTCCTTAGTCAAACCAAGAGCCGTCGCACTAGCAACCAGATGCTCAACCATAGCGAAGAAATACGCGGGACCGGATCCTATCACACACATCAAACATTAGCCTCATCCACTCCCCTCCCCAAGAACCAAACCCCAAAGAGAAAAAGAAGAAGAGAAGAAGAAACACATACCAGACAACCCCGTAACCACATCCAACAACTCCTCCCTATCCACCCACTCCGTAACCCGACTAACACTCGCCAACAACGCCTCCACCAACCCCTTATCCTCCTTCCCAACTTCCACGCCAGCAAACACACCACTCGCCCCCTCCGTCACCAACGCCGGCGTATTCGGCATAACCCTCACCACCGGCGCCACCTTCCCGCCCTCAACACTCAACCACTTCTGCAAACTCTCCAACGTAATCCCCGCCGCAATGCTCACCACAATCGGGAACTTCGCTCTTGCCGTAGCCGTCCATTCCTGACGAAGCTCCTCGCACACCGTCTTCGCGACTTGCGGCTTCACGGCCAGGATGACGACGTCGGCAGAGGACGCGGCCTCGGTGTTGGATGTCGTGACGTTCACGCCTAGCGCGGCGATCTTGTTCCGGTTCACTTCCCAAGGCTCGGAGACGTGGATGTTGCTCGCGGGGACGGATTGGCGGAGTAGTCCCGAGATGATGGCTGATGCCATGTTGCCGCCGCCGAGGAAGGCGAGGGTGCTGGTTTGGAGGGTGGGCATTTTGACTATTTAGTTTTTTTTTTCCCTCTGGGGGAATGGATTAGAGGTGTTTGTGTGGTGGATGGGTCAATTGAGGAGAGTGATGGAGCTGGTGATGGTGGTGATTGTAAATGGGAGGGGTAGCTCGGTGGGTGAGGGACACGTGATGTGATTGCCCCACTAGCTAGCTAGCTTATCGCGGGGTTGATATGATATGATTAGTCATGATGATCTATAACTAGATTTGATTGTTTGGATTTATTTGTTAGACACCTATACAAGGGGTTTTTAGAGATTGAGCATCTGGTAACCTATCAAGGTCTCATTTCCTTGATCATCCATTTGTGATGTTCTTTCACGGTCACCGGAAGCCGACAGAGTCCTCAAAAACCTGCAAGAGCGCAAACCCCGCACTTAGAATTGAGACCTTGTAAAAATGTAATTACTACATCAAGCCGCCAAGAAGACCAGACATAATTTAAGGACATTGTATTGTCACCCAACGTGTCTGTACGAATATAAGGATAGCCGTATCCTGATCACGATGGGATCTTGAGCCTCGGTTGTCTCGATCTGTTGCGCGCTAGTAGTTACTAGAGTTGCACAGATACCGGCGGATTCAAGGCACCATTGGGTTTTTGGATGGCCAGTTTTCACGGATAGTATGACATGTAAGAGGCTTGTATAATTGCGAGGGAATGAATAAGTTGTCCTGGTATGAGAATTGAGATATTGAGAAGACGAAAGATACTTTATGTCTACCAGACGAAGCAACTCGAAGTGCGGGAATGGGACTTTTTTTTTTCGGTGCGATCCGACGCCCATGAATCTAGTGACTCACTGATTTAGTTACTATCATTGAACCTACATAAGACCTGTCTGCCTCATACAAGTGCTCTTCGTCTAACCCTATTGCTGGCTGTGTCCAGCATGGCAATTTGCACCTTACACATGCACATGTCATGATTCTGTAGCCACTGGTCCAGCCACCGGCTCAGCTTTATCTTCATTTTCTTGTTTCACTTCGGCATCTTTTCCGTCAAAGATACCGGCTATATGCTCGAGGCTGTATCCGCGAGTCTCTGGGTAAAAGAAATACGCCGAAAACCAGTATCCGGCCAACACGGCCACGAACACAAAGTAGTATTTCCAGTGGATGGCCGAAAGCGCGACTGGGTTGACGAACGTGTTGAACACCGTACATCCAATGGCAGACAACCATACAATACTGAGCCCCTGTGAACGGAGGCTGAAGGGCCAGATTTCACATGGGTATGCTGTGAGCATAGGTGTCCTACCAGTAAGCATTAGTTCAGTCATACATCGACAGAAATGATCGCAATGGTTGGACGATAGTCTAGCATGAGATCACCTACAGCGCGATATCATATCCCAAGAAATATACAAAGAGGAAAGGGATAACTGCAATACCAACTGAACCCTTGCCAGTGTTAGCAAAGGCGCCTGACAACGCAGTGATGAGGATGAAAGCTGCCAGCATGGTACTGGCCGAGGTTATGAACAGAACCCGCCGACCGACTTTTTCGACCAGCGAGGCGCCAAGCACTGCGAAAAGAACGTTCCAGACCTGCAGGCAGGCCGAGATCAATAGCTGATCGCGCGTGTGAGTGATGCCGATAGACGTCAATATCATGGAAAGGTAGTAGGAGACTACCCCGTTGCCCGACAATTGTGCAAATACCCCAAGCGTAATGGTGATGAAGAGCCGATGGCGGTCTCCCGGGGTCTTGATCAAGTTTAGGTACCCGGCCGAAGTAGCCGCGGTGTGCTCCGCTTGAATTATTTCTTGGATATTCTGGATCTCATACACAATAAGAGGCGCAGTAGTATCACCACCAGCGTGCAGCTTAGCTAGAACTGTACGGGCTTTCTCGATACGTCCCCTAGATATCAACCATCGAGGACTCTCTGGGATGAACGCAAAACCAGGAACGGCAATGAGAGGAAGGAGCGTCTGTAGAAGAACGGGCAATCTCCATGCCCAGGGGCCGTCATACGCTTGTGTTGCAAAGGAGGCCCAGGCTGCAACAGCTGCTCCAACGTAATAGCCAACCATGTACAGTGCACCGAAGACACCACGATGTGCAGGGTAGGCAATCTCACTGAGTAGGATAGGGGCCGTGTTGCTTACCCATCCCATACCACAACCAATCACGGCACGAGACGCAGTGAAGACGTTGGCGGACGACGCAGCCGTACCCATTACGGTTCCAGCTAATAGAAAAATAAGCCCTATCCAGACGCCTACTCGCCGCCCGTATCGATTACACGCCCAGGCAGCAACTGGGGTGCATATCAAAGCCCCTATCCAGTAGACAGCACTTATAAAGCCAAGCCAAGTGCTGGATGGCTTTTCCATGAAGTTGACCCATTCTGGCATAGCCTGCAGGCCATTGATCAACGAGCCATCGTACCCGCCAGGAGACGCTATGGGTGCTCAGTTAGAAGACCATCGAGGCAAATTTGAGGAGAGTAGCGGCGTACAGAAAAGGGATAGAACGCCCATGAAGAGACTGACCCTGCGAAGGTGAGGACTGCGCCACCCACTGAAAACTGGCAAAACCGAGCCTAGTTGTTGATCGCTAGATTCTGCCGCCACAGGGGTGCTCATGTTGATACAACGCCAACAATTAGGCATCCAGTGGTTCTGATCCAGAGAGGCGCTATCGAAAGCCACTGATAAGATACTCACTGGATCTTATAGTTACGTCGATGTCCAACGGAGCAAGAAGTCAGGAGAAAAGAGCCGGCAGGATATTTCAGTATGACCTTATGGCGCTGAACAACATGGTGTCATGGTGAACCGTGCCCGAAAATGCCCGACTAAACACCTGGGCTGGGAAGGCGCGATTGATTGCAGGATTGTATCATGGAACCCTTGATGCCTGTTGATGGTACCCCGGACGTGAAATATGCTATTTCTGGGGTCTACATCGAGGGGAAACACTCCCGCTTCACCTCTGGTGACCACATACCTGCACAGGGTAGTTCTTTCCACGGCCAGACGTGTAGGTTAGCCCGGCAAGGGGGTGTATGCGATCTGTAATCACGGAATAAATCGCCATTTGCTTTGGATTTAAATTATGCCGTAAACGGTCGGCCATTCGGTTGAATAATGATGTCCCCATCACTTCTGCTGCCGTTTCACCAATCCATGTACCATTAAGGTAACTCACACCGGATGTATTGCCGAATCTCTTAACCCAACTGGGTGTAACTTCTGTTGGGCGCCGGTGTCAATAAACAGTCCAACACCATCACACTCTGTATCTCCGATGCTGTATGGGTCTGTCTTATTATCATACGGAGCACTACCATCCCCCTTTCCCTTGCTGTCAGGCTCTGTGTGTCTCATGCTGAAATCTTGGTTGAAGCTGGAAGAGAAAGGGTGAATGACCCGCCTTACATGGTTTCCGCTGGTCTTGACCATTCCGCAAACCGGGGAACATACATCCACCACCACCGCCGGACGTTCTGGGCTTCGACGTCCATGGTAACCAAGGTAACTTGGGGGCTGGGGCACCCCTGCAGAAACGTTTAGAAGAGACGACATGTCTTGCATTCGATAGTCGCACATATCATCAGATGCAGTGCGTTGGGGAAATGTACCACAGGGTAGGGAAAGAGGAATGAAATGGTATATTAGAGTTTTGCGGTGGTGAAGTGGACTCTGCCTAAAACGTGTCGCTCGGCGGAAGGGGGGTTAGAACAGGCCAGCCCATTCCCCAGCTGATCACGTCTGGAATGAAACAGGATTTGAAAGTGGAATCTCCTCATTACGTCTCACATTTGTCCGATCCTGACAAATTTAAGAACAATGCTTTTTTCTTTTCAAAAAGAAAATGACTAGTGAGTTATAAAAGTCCGACCTTAATGATCACTCCTATCAACCTGTTAGCTGCGAACCTCATGATGATTTTGTGTCTGGTTGCTACCTGAGATGCCTATTCACAATAGTATGGTATTCAGATAGCTAGTAAGTTACGCTTTAAACACAGACCGCTTCATTAGCCGACCTAAGCCGACCCTCTGCTCCAGCTCCATCCGTTGCGGCAGATACCCCCTTCCCATCTTCCCATCACCAGCCCAGTGCGCAAGGGGCCCTACCTAGACCAGCGAGAATCTCTACGCTCCCACGGCTCAAGCCCCAAAGCGACTCGATTCGCATTAACAAAATCCTTAAGCTCATCCAGTCCTCTATAGTCCGCGGTATTCATCGTCTCAAGCGGTTCCGGATCATCTGGCTCAGGAAGGATCCCTCTCAGATGTGCATTTGGACCGGTGAATGGATACCCGCACGAGTTGATGGAAATGTCTATAAGGTGTGGTAGTTGGCGTAGCTGCGTGAGGACCATGTGCCAGGTGCCAGAATGCAGTTCTACCAAAGACGGTTCGATGTGCTTGAGATGATCTTTGCATTGGCCAGTAAGCGCACGGATGTGGTCGAACGTGATGAGGACCCGTTCGAGGCACAGAGAGGTGAGCCGGAGCGCTGGGCTGGAATGAATAGTGTGGAAAGGTATGACGTCTGTACTGCTGATCCGGAGAGCTTCTAGGTTAGGAGCCAGCTCCACTAATCTAAAGAGATGCGCGGCGTGCAAGTTATTTGGAAAGGCGGCGTATGCAGGAGGTACAGGGGTTCTCCAGTATCGCTGTCCCAGCTCTTTGGTATACGCAGTGACATGTAAAGCTAGGTATTTCAGGCCGTGCAGTAAATCCTCCATGGGTATGTACAATGGAGAAATTGGGCTGGGGAAAAAGTATCGAAAGTCATGAGCCATGGGAAAGAAGAGCTCAAGCCCCTCCAAATGGGGTAGAATCACAAATCGTAGGGCTGTAACAATTGCTTCAATGGCAGTCCTTTCCTGGTCGCGTGTCATTACGCGTATCGAGGACTCGACTGAGGCCCTGAATTTGAGAACGCGCAAATCGGACAGTTGAGCAAGACAAGGCGATAACAACCCAGCAAAATCCTGGATTTCCTGACCGATTATTGGGCAGAGAGAGGCGAACCAGCTGTTGTATCCGGTCTCTAGATTGCGAACATGGGCCGCGTATTTGCTCCGTGAGATTTCAATAAATCTTTGTAGG